TCACTGCAACCTCCGCCTCCTGGGTTCAGGCAATTCTCCTGCCTCAGCCTCCCGAGTAGCTGGGATTACAGGCACGCGCCACCATGCCCAACTAATTTTTTGTATTTTTAGTAGAGGCGGGGTTTCACCATGTTGACCAGGATGGTCTCGATAGCTTGACCTCGTGATCCACCCGCCTCGGCCTCCCAAAGCGCTGGGATTACAGGCTTGAGCCACCGCGCCTGGCCGGGGCAGAACTTTTTTTGAGCAAGTCACTTGCTTCAAAACCTCAATTTGAAATATAGCAAAAGAGGCCAAGGGCCAGGCACTGTAGCTCACACTTGTAATCCCAACACTTTGGGAGGCCAAGGCAGGAGGACTGCTTGAGGCCAGAAGTCAAGACCAGCTTGGGCAACATAGCAAAATAGAGTGAGACCACCCCCCGCCACCCGTCCTCCGCAACTCCTGTCTCTACTAAAAAAAAATTTTTTTTTTTTTTTAATTAGCCAGGTACAGTGCCTGTAGTGTGCCTCCCAGCTACTGAGGATTGTTTGAGCCCAGGAGTTTGAGACTGCTGTGAGCTATGACAATGCCACATCCAGCCGGAGTGACTAAGCAAGACCCTGTCTCAAATAAACGAGAGGCCAGGTTAGGTGGCTCACATCTGTAATCCCAGCACACTTTGTATTTTGGGAGGCTGAAGCAGAAGGATTGCAGCCCAGGAGTTTAAAACCAGCCTGGGCAACATAGCAGAACTCCATTTCCACAAAAAAAAAAAAAAATTAAAAACTAGCCAGGCACCCCTACAGTCCTAGCTACTCAGAAGGCAGAAGCAGGAGGACCACTCGAGCCCAGGAGTTAGAAGCTGCAGTGAGCTCCGATCATCCCACTGCACTCTACTCTAGCTTGGGCGACAGAGACTGTTTCAAAACAAATTGGTAAAAGCGTCAAATAAACGGCACCCTTTCAAACACTATTTCTCCCAATTTTACCCTTGTACTGCTTGCTGTCTTCTCTTTGCGTCCTTACCTCTATTTGTTCCAATGGGTCTCGTCCTTTTGGGACAGGAGCCCTTTTCTCTAGTTCCCGCATCTCCCATAAGGCTGTGTGCTGTGGCAACCTCTTGAGAAGCACAGCTCTCTCCAGAGTCTCCACAGGTAAATCTCCTAATGGGCCAGGAGCAGTTGCTATACAGGTAGTTGCTGTCTTGGCACCCATGAGAAGACTGCTTTCTCTCCCCCGGGAGCCACACACACCCAGAGGTTCAACGACAACCAAGGTGCAGGTGAGCTCAGCCACCGTGTCCTTGTGTGCCTGGCCTGAGGAAAGAGAGTCTCTGCTCACAGTACCCTACTAATGCCCAATGACTTAATTCCAGCTGCCTGGGCCAACTGTTGGGCAGGACTAACATGCAGCACAACCCCCAAATTCATGCCACAAAGTTCCCTAGAAGGGCATTTAGAACAGCTTCTGCAGCTGAGATAATAATACACACTAACTGGACCTGTCTGAAGTTATTTCCCCACTCCAGAAAGAAACAAGAAGTAGCACTTGGTCCAGCCAGCCAAACAAGCTGTGGCAAGAAAGTCAGCCTGCACTGTGTCAGACGCTGACAGCAGGGCCAGGAAGAATTGGGTGCTGCTGGTACAGGGTGACACTCCAGGGGCCCCAGATGGTGCAGGGTCCTTTCTCACAGGACGGAGCGAGGCCAAGAACCTCACTGCTCCAGCTCATTCATGGAATCCCCAGCGTACCACACAAAAGGATTCTGAAAGATCGGACAAAGGAATCATGCCAAGAGAGGTAAAACAAGCAAGAGGAGAGAGGCAGCACTTAACCTGCTACACAAGAACACCTGGTCGCCTTGAGGACAGCAGGCCCCTGGGTACTGAGCTTGGTCACAGAAGGCACCTGCTCAGCGTACTTGGATCACACCTTTGTTAATCCAAGCACATACAAACCTCGGAAGAAAGCTGCTCCATAAAGCCGTTCATCCAGACCACACATTCAACGTCATCCAAGAATACAAAAGTGACACCTAGGGACCTGGCCTTCACACTGGATTATTTCTAAATTAAGCATATTCCTAAGAGCCTAAAAAGCTGATCTAGATTCTGGCAGCTCATTGTAATTCACCAAAAAGCGAACAACTTCACAATCTTACTTCTTTTTTTTGAGACGGGGTCTCACTCTGTCACCCAGGCTGGAGTGCAGTGGTGTGAGTACAGCCCACTGCAGCCTCAACCTCCTGGGCTCCAATGAGCCTCCCACCTCAGCCTCCTGAGTAGCTGGGACCCCAGGGGCAAGCCACCAGGCCCTGCTAATTTTTTCTGTTTTTTTTTTTTTTTTTAGAGATCGGGGTCTCACTTTGTTGCCAAGGCTGGTCTCAAACTCCTAGGCTCAAGCTATCCTCCTGCCTCGGCCTCCCAGAATGCTGGGATTACCAAGTGCCTGTGTATGTATTAGAGGTATAAACCACCATGCCCAGCCAAATCATTACCTTTTCAACAATCAACAGTATCCCATCTGTTCATCCCTCAAAATACGTATACAGCACCTGCCAGATCAAGTTACTCTGCTAAGCCACAGGGATCCAAAACAAGTAAACGCATCCTCGATACATTAACAGCACATCAATGGCTTAACCTGTAACCCAGGCTCAGGGTGGAAGCAGTAAAATGCAGAGGGTAGTTAGTCCAAGAGGCTTGTGCATTCACCAGATGAAGTCAGGGAGGTGGCTGTCGGCCTCAGAGCTAGATCCTTGACAAAATAATGGAGACACTAACCCAGCAAGAGTCTAGACAAGAAAGCCAATCCCCTGAAGGCAGCCACAGATGGACTTGGTCCCAGTGCTAACAAGCAGCAGGTTACTGCAGATGGGTCCTGAATGCATAAATATGGCTCTAGGGCTGGGACTTTGATTTGTTCACTGTTTTTCCAAACATACTTACTGAATATGTACTTGGTGAAAAATAAATGCCGACTGAATCAATAAGAGAAACACAGGACAACTTTGCAGTGTGTGTTTCAGCTCAGAACACCTACCTTAGTGCAAAGGCCTGGCTGATCCCACTGCTGAACTACAAAGAGCTGTGTGGACAGGATATCCCTTTGACCCTGAGCTTCAGATAAGCCCCACAGACACTCAACGCTGGATACATCTGTCAAGATGGAATGTTTAAATGTGTGAACTTCTAAAAGTAAGGGCCAAGATAACAAAAGAAGAAATAATTACAGATCTTGGTTTCACTGGACCTGTCTCCTCTCCTGTAAAAAGAAGTTGATATGAATGCCTGCCTGTTTTTGTTACCATGAGCTTATGCATAGAGAGAGCTTAACCAGAGCTGGCACACAGTAAACAGAGTGTGGCGTGTTTACTACTGTTATCATTTGTGAGGACACTACCACTATAAGGCAACACAGCCCTAACTAAACCACTCCTGCAAGTGGCTTCACTCCACCAGGATCTACTCTTTGTTTTTGAGACAGAGTCTCGCACTGTCTCTCCCAGGATGGAGTGCAGTGGCACAATCTTGGCTCACTGCAGCCTCCGCCTCCTGGGTTCAAGCAATTCTCCTATCTCAGCCTCCCAAGGAGCTGGGACTACAGGTGTGTGCCACCACACCCGGTTAATTTTGTATTTTTAGTAGAGATGGGGTTTCGCCATGTTGGCCAGGATGGTCTTGAACTCCTGACCTCAGATGATCCACCCGCCTTGGTCGCCCAAAGTGCTGGGATTACAGGCGTGAGCCACTGTGCCTGGCCAGGCTCTACTCTTTCCAGTGAAAAACATGGGGCCTGTGATGGCTATATTCTAGATCCCTTTCAAGGATGACCCTTTACAGCAGGGGTCAGTGCTACTGACATTTTGAGTCAGATATTTCTGTTGTGGGGGCTACCCTGTACACCACAGGATGTAAGCATCTCTGGCCTCAATCACTGGATGCCTGTAGGTCATGACAACCACAAATGTTTCTGGACACTGCCAGATGTGTCCTGGGTAACAAAAATCACCCCAGTGATAACCACTGCTAGAAATAAATAGCATGACTGTATATAGGAAGCAATTAATAAACACTTTTAATAGGTGAGGATTTTTATATTGCTCATGGATTCTTAAAAGGGGTCACAAAATCAGATGTTGTATGAGTGACTATCAGCTCCAAGTGTTATCTTTCCAAACTTGAAAATTCAATTTCTGATAAACTGATTTACCCAGGTTGGGAGGCATCAGGGCTGTTTTTAAAAAACAAAATGAAAAACCCACTCAGAGATTCAGCTTTCTTATCTTTAAAAGGAAGAAGCTGAAGTCCTACAGGTCAAGAAGTACCCCAAGTCAGGCTGGACACGGTGACTCATGCCTGTAATCCTAACACTTTGGGAGGTTGAGGCGGACAGGTCCTTTGAGGTCAAGAGTTCGAGACCAGCCTGGCCAATGTGGTTAAACCCTGTCTCTACTAAAAATACAGAAGTTAGCCAGGCGTGGCGGTACATGCCTGTAGTCCTACGCTGGAGGCTGAGGCAGGATAATCACTTGAACCCAGGAGGCAGAGGCTGCAGTGAGCCGAGATCGTGCCACTGTACTCCAGCCTGGGTGACAGAGAGAGACTCCGTCTCAATTAAAAAAAAAAAAAAAAAAGTACCCCAAGTCATAAAGCTGATAAGAACGGATCCAGGGAGAAGCTGTGAAACTATTCAAAAGAAGAAAAGAAAAGCCCCAAACTGAAGTGCAGGTCTCCTGACTCAGTCCAGTCAAAGACACCATCCTTTCATTTTCATTTTTTTTTTTTTTTTTTTTTTTTTTTTTTTTTTTTTTGAGGGGAATAGAGGAGGCAGCATCATCCTTACCTGGAAAAACATCTCAACTCTTTGCTGAGTCAGGGAGAATGAATCAATGTCTTACATTCTGTACCGAAGACAGCAAGTACTGCTGCAGGTCTCACAAGGTCCACCTCCAAGAAGTTCTGAGACTACAGAGGTAAAAGGCAAGTCCTAGAGTAGATCTGAACAATGCTTATTGGAAAGAATCATCAGGACCGCTCACGCTGCTTGCTAACTGTTGACTTTGGCATCAGCTGCTTCTCATCTCTTCCTGCCCTACAAGAGACCTGTGGCCACAGCACTGGGGTCTCTGGGATACAGCTAAGCCTCCTAAGAGACTGAAACGGGATGGGTAGGTGCTACATAAATAATGGTTTAATTAACACTGGCAGTATTAACAGAGTAATACTGCAGTGGTAATCTACCAAGGAATTTGATTTTTTTTTTTTTTTTTGAGATGAAGTTTCCCTCTTGTTGCCCAGTCTGAAGTGCAATGGCACCATCTCGGCTCACCAAAACCTCCATCTCCTGGGTTCAAGTGATTCTCCTGCCTCAGCCTCCCGAGTACCTGGGATTATAGGCATGCACCACCACGCCTGGCTAATTTTTGTATTTTTAGTGGAGACGAGGTTTTTCCATGTTGGTCAGGCTGGTCTCAAACTCTTGACCTCAGGTGATCCACCCGCCTCAGCCTCCCAAAGTGCTGGGATTATAGGCGTGAGACACCACGTCCGTCCAGCCAGAATTTGATTTTTTAGCTTAAAAATATTGTAAAATAGACCTCAACAATGTAAAAACTGGCAATCCCCCAAGGCTTTCCCAAGAAATATATTCTAAAGTATATCTTCAAAACTATAATTTCAATTAAACTTTATAATTTTAATATATGATTTAAATAAAAATAGGACCTTCTTACATTCATTCTTTCACCACCTGCTACACTTATTTACATTTGGAAAGACATCATGGCCATCTTTCCAAGTATCAAATACAAGTTTACCTCATTTGTTAAAACTGCATAAATCCCCTATGGATAGAACCCTTGAACTGATTTTTTTTTTAAATTATAAACAATGCCGAAAAGAACAACCTCTGTTCACTTGGGCCTGTACCTCCATAGAATAAATAGAACTGGAAATGGAATTATATGATTACAGGGAGTGCACTGATAGATATCGCCAAGGTAAAACTGTTCTCCCGAAGAGTTTAACTAGTCACACTCACAACACCCGATTACAGAATATCCTCTTCTCTTTTGAGGACAACTAAAATGATCGTGTTTATTTTTTTTCCAGCCTGATGTGGGGGAAACATGATTTTAATGGCAACTCTGATCAGTGAGACAGCAATCTTATTTAGCTTACTGACCATTTGAATTTCTCTACTGTGAAGACCAAACCAAGCACAACCAATCCACCCACCTTTCTACCAGTGTTGCAGCATCGCTTCTAAGACAAAGCAAAATCCACATGTGGGCAACAGAGCAGTAGGAATGAACAGAATTATAAATTTAAGTGAAACTCCAGTTGTATGCCAAAAATAACCTTCCTAAAGGACACCCAGGCAAAAGTGATGAGAAAATACTATTAAAAAGGACATCTTTTGCCTCAATTAGTCACACAGTAGACAACATAAGCTGACATCTGAGACCCCTAAGCCTGCCAAAGTTCTGTTTTACTCACAAACATTAACCTACCTTGCTTTAAGAGAAGGGCTCCCCAAAAAGGTAATTTTGCTTACAAAAAAGCGTCAAAGTGTATACTGTTTTGGGGGTAAACAGACCTGGCTAGATGGTAGACTGAGGCTGACTGACAAGGCCATTAGAGAAGCAGTGAGGTAGGTCAAGGCACAAACTCTGGGGCCAAACCACTAACTCTAGTCTTTGCCTCAGGGGCCACCTCAACCTGGGATGACAACAATACTTGCTCCTCCAGTTGATGCTGTGAATGGTGTGGCCCATGGTCGCCTCGCCATGATCCATCAGTGGTACGGGGTCACTCTGCTCCAGCTCTCCAAAGGCTTCAACATCCATCCGCTAGGAGCCCTGCCTCCTCCCCTGACCTGCCCGTCTCCTGCACCCTCTGGCCCGGCTGCACACTGGCCTTCCACATGCCTCTAAAGTGCTCATCAGAGGCCTACCCCCAGTCTTTTGTGCCTCTTGTCCATTCCTCTTAGAATGCACTTCCCAGATGGCTAACCGTGGCTTGTTGGCTCGCTCAAGTCTGAATCAACTGTCGCTCAATCAGCAAGGCGTCCCCACTGTGCCAAACTGCCACTGTGTCCCCCACTCCACTCCCCTCGATACTTTATTTTCCTCCTTCCTTCTTGTCCACGTTGGACACTCTGCATGTCTGCTGGTCTGCGGACTGCCTGTTACCCCTTACCAAAATGTGACCTCCATGAAAGCACAGGAGAACATGCGTCTTTTTCCTTATTGCATCTCACTTGCTGGAATGTCTCTAGCATGGGCTGCCGTCAGATCAATATTTATACCACCTCCTGAGACAACATTAAAATGATAGTTTTTTGGTTTTTTTTTTTTAAGATACAAATCACAAAAACAAAGACCAGGAATAGAGATAAGAACATCAGAATACTGGAGGCTAGAAACTGGAAACAGACCTGAAAGGGCTGAATCCTGCATCAGCAATGGGGAAGGCCAATTAGCAACAAGACTGGAAGCCAAGAGATCTCAATTAAAAACAGAGTCGTCTGACAGGTTGAAAAGGCAGGAAGATCCCTAGATTCACCCCACAACTCTGCAGCCACATGGAGCCATTCTGTACAGCCCCTCTCCTGCCCTGGCCAAATGGTAGAGTTTTTCTCTCTGCAAAGGGAAGTAAAATCTTTGGACTAGAGACACCAATTACAGAGGAGGATGGGAAACACGTCTGAAAAGGGGAAGAAAGCTCTTTCCATGCTTACTGCTGCACTCACAGGCCTCTCTCCTCACTTGGCCTTAGCCAGGCAAACGGCTACAAGACATTTCTCTGGGGAATCTGAAGAAACCCAAAGAAGCTGACAGAGGTGCTGCAAGGAAATGGCCCAACCAGGTGCCTCTGCAGTGAATGCCACAGTCAGCAAGCCACAGCCACAAGCTCAGAGGCCCTGACTTCACCACTGGACAGCCCAGAAAAGGCTCCAACAAAAGCCAAAAACCCAAAACAAACAAAAGCGGCCTGAACAGTGACTTGAGGAGAAAGAAAACCTCATTAGTATCATCAAAGAGTTAAGAGGCTATACCACATTCATGAAACAAAAAATAGATTATAAAACAGGAATAGGGAGAACAAGACAAAGTTCTTAGACATGAAAAAAACCTCAGTAGAAGGGCTGGAAGATAAATTTTAGAATAACCTCCAGAAAGAAAATGAAAAACCAAAGGGTACAAAATATCAATTAGACAGGAGGAATATGATCATCTTTTTTGGGATATATTGTACAGCGTGATGAATATAGTAAATAATAATGTAGATGTCAAGAGTGCTGACAGTAAATTTCAAATGCTTTCACCACGAAAAACTTAAAAGTATTTGAGGTAATGAATTATGTTAATTAACTTGATTTTATTCCATTGTATTCATAAATCATAATATCTTTGTACCCCAAAAATATGTACAAGTATAATTTGTCAATTTACAGTTTAAAAGATAAAAACAAAAAAATCTTGGGGGGTGGGGAGGAGAAAAAAACTTAAGAAAATTATGAGTGCCAATCCAGAAGGTCCAAGAGAAGAATTCTAGAAAGAGAAAGCAAATAGATAGAAATCAAAGCAATAAATCAACAAAAATGCCTAGCATCGAACAACGTG